TGCACATAAATTTTAGGCCTTATTACATTACAACCCCTATGAGCCCACATGTCAAGACACCTTTCGTGGATAAGACTGGCAATTCTTTAGGCTACCTAAACCCTAAACCCTAAACCTTAAACCCTAAACCCTAAACTGCATTAAGCCCTGAAGCCTCATCCTGGCAAGAGCTAACAGCAAGCTTGCAAAGCCCCAAGCTTCAGGTGACTACAGTTGGGGGTTCCCAACATAGGGGTACAATTTTGAAGGTCCCCATAATAAGGACTATCGTATTTTGGGGTCTATATTGGGGTCTACTTATTTTGGGAAACTACCAGTTGATATCAAAAATCTTGTACGACCTTAATAGGTTAAGGGTTTAGGGTTTGATACAATACCAAATCCCCAAGGTATAAGATACTTAGGTTAACGCAGGGTTGCTGAGGCCACCTGACCTACACAACCTGTGATGGGCTGTAAAACGAGATGCCAGCACTTATTGCTGGGCTGTAGTTAGGGAACTCAATTAACTTATCACTACCAAACTCCTTGGGACTTAGCTTGGACCTGAGACCCGTAACCCTTTGGGGTTCCCCTGTATTCCTATTATAGGTACCTAAGGGTTAACCCTTAGTAGGGGTCCTAAGTGCCACGTAGCAAAGGAAAGGTAGGTGGTCAAAGTTTTGGCCGGTTTTGGGAGCCCCTGGTATAATACCGTTCCCAATGGGTTTAGAGTTTAGTAGACAGGTACCCGGAGGATTTTGGATACAGCCCTTCCTGAAATTCCGAACATGTAAGGCCGCCCCCATGCTTTCATTGTCTGGGCCGCTGCTGGATTCATGTACATAGTTTAACGAGCTTTTCGTGCTTATCATATCAAAGCCCAAGAAGGAAAAGAAGGAATGTGACACTTGATTTTTGGGTCATACCCCAGTTTGGGGGTGTAGGGTTCAAGATTTCAGTGCTAGCTTCAAATTTTAGAGTCAAGGTTGTATGTTTTGGACGTTAGCTCGTGATCCTGGTTGACTATACACATTACCCTAAACCCTAAACCCTAGTATAAAGAAAAGTTATTTCGCACAAAAGTTGGTGTTAGCTACAGTCAACTGGGTCTCGAGGTCAGCGCTGAGTCCCGAAGAACCCTGAACCCTAAAACCCGAAATGCCTAGCCCTAAAGCATACCTGGACCCCAAAAGTATGTAAAATGATTGCCTTTAGGGCTGTTACTATGGGTTTAGGGCTATTATTCTACATACTTTTAGGGTTTAGGTAATACTTAAACCATCAACCGTATGACCGTTTGATCTAAAGCCCGCGAGGCGTCAACTGCCCACGTGACGGTCGGCCGGGCTGTGCGCTGGTGGACTAGCTAAACTCTTGGGCCTCGCCAGGTCGTTTAGGGTTTAGGATCTAGGGTGCCAAAGTTATTGTCTGTACTTTCTGGGTCCTACAATGGAACAAAATTGTATCCAAAGTATGTAGAGTGCATCAGCTTTACGTCGCCGAGCCGTCCTTTAGTTGCCCACCCACACCCTAAGGGTCCAAGGACCCAAATAATAGGGTTTTAGGGCCCAAATACCACAATATGAATGGTATTTGGGATCTAAAACACTATTATTTGGGTCGTTGGACCCTCAGGGACACAGTTGAGCACAGCCACTACTCAAGGCTGCCTCCAACCATGTGGGGTGAGCACCCTAAGAACTGCATTATATTGGGGTTATATAGGGGTTATATTGGGATAATGGAAAAGAAAATGGAAACTACTATAATATGCGGTTGAGGGGTTAGGGTTCCGGGTTTAGGGTTTGGGGTTTAGGGTTTGGGGTTTGGGGTATAGGGTTTGGGGTTTGGGGTTTAGGCTTTGGGTTCAGGGTTTAGGGTTTGGGGTGCGCACAAAGAAGGAGGTTTCAATGATTAGCCTTTGGGGTTCAGGTCTGTTGTGAAAGGTGTTAGGGGTCAAAGATTTAGGATCAGTGCTAAGGTATGATTTGGGGTTTAGTTCTCAGTGTCATGTTTAGGGTTGAGCCTAGCATTCGGGGCTTAGGTTTGGGATCCGGAAGGTGTGGTGCTAAACCCTAAACCCTCTTTGACTCTGGCGCTGGCTCAATGCCTAGGCCTTAAACCAGGGATGTAAGCCGCCGAGGAAGCGTAACCTGTAAACCACGAACCATACACGCAATGAACACCCCAAACCTTCAACCTAAACCATACGCCTTTTATATGGGGGTTGTTCTAAAAC